AAAAAAAAAAAAAAAAAAAAAAAAAAAAAAAAAAAAAAAAAAAGGATTGGTTGTAGTTCTTCTTTGAAAATCTTGTACAATCTATCTAATCCTGGACCTTGTTTTTAGTCAGAAAGCTTTTTATTGTTTCAATATCTTCCTTTGTTATGGGTCTGTATGCCTCTAATCCCAGCACTAGGAGACAGGATCTCGGGCCCCTATTTGGTCTGAGGATTTGTAGAGTTAAGAAGCTTCTACTGGTTGCTGCTCTGCTTCTTTGTCCTTTCAGCTTTCACTCTCATGACCTTTCAATCATTACCCATCTGACTCTGGGGGTTTTTATTGTTAAGACTAATTAGAATCATGCTTCACTTTCTACTCCCTCCCAAGTTCATAACTTCTTTAGTTATTATTGTTACATACAGAAATACTTATATACACAAATACTTCATATAAATTTTACATACTAATTCCAGTTCTCCCTCCTCCTCTTCTGCTGCCCTCCCCACCTCCCCCAATCCCACCTCTCAATCCACTCCTCAGAGAGGGTAAGGCTTCCCTTGGGGAATCAACAAAGTGTGGCATACTAAGTTGAGACAAGACCAACTCTCCACCGCCCTCCCCCCTTCCCCCGTGTTAAGGCTGAGCAAGGTATCCTATCCTAGAGAATGTGTTCCAAAAGCCATTTCATGCACCCATGATAAATCCTGGTCTTATTTCCAGGGCTCCCCAAACAGATCTAGCCACATAACTGTTGCCCACATTCAGAGGGTCTAGTTCGGTCCCATGCATGTTCCCCAGCTGACAGGCCAGAGTCCATGAGCTCCCATCAGCTTGGTTCAGCTATCTCTGTGATTTTCCTCATTATGATCTTGACCTCACTTGCTCCTGTGATCCCTCCTCCCTCTCTTCTACTGAAGTCTAGGAGCTCAGCCGAGTGCTTGGTTGTGGATCACTGTATCTGCTTCCATTAGTTACTGGATGTAGGTTCTATGATGACAACTAGGGCAGTCACTAATCTGATTATAGGAGAAGGTAAGTTCAGGCACCCTCTCCATTATTGCTAGGAGTCTTAGTTGATATCACCCTTGTGGATTCCTGGGGATTTCCCTAGCACCAGGTTTCTCCTTATCCCCCTAATGGTTCCCTCTACCAAGAATTATTCACATAGATGAGGAAGAATAATTCCAAGTCAGTGGCATAGACTAGATCTTCAACATAGTAAAAACAACTTCCCCATATTATGGAATAATATACCCACACAGCTACAAAGAAGCATAGAGCACCAAGTAGATAAGATTAGAAATAAAAATCCGCATAGTATGCCATAGTTAAAAAATTAAGTGTACAGAATAAAAGAGTATTGAAAAATGCAAGAGGAAAAAATAAGTTACATATAAAGGAAAATCTGTTCAAATAGCTGATTCTCAATGGAAAAATCTAAAAGCTGGAAGAGGCTGGAACAATACATTCCAAGCCTTAAAAGAACATGAGGGCCAACACAGACTAATATACCCAGAAAAATTATCTACCATAGTTGAAGGAGAAAAACTTTCCACAATATAAACAGCCTTAAATATTTTATACCCAACACACTAAATATAAAGTAAATATAGGAAGCAATATTTCAGGCTGAATAGAGTAATGAGCATATCTAGGAGACTGTGAAATGAGATGTAAAACTATAATTACAAAACCACAAAGTACCACTGAGGCACAAATAACAACACCAAAAATCAGTAATATAATGACTAGAATCAATGTCCAACTTTCAATAATGATAAATACTAAGAGCCTCAGTTCTTCAACCAAAAGTCATGGTTGGATAAATGGATCAAGAAACAAAATCTACTTGTTTCTTGTCTACAAGAAACATTTCTTAGCTTTAATGATCAACATTACTGTAGAGTAAAAGAATGGACAAAAACAGTGACAAGGAAGCAAGCAGGTATCACTATTCCAATAGTAATTTCTTATTATTGTAGATAGTATGTACTTTGCATACAGGATTCAAACGAATGGAGATAGATATGACCCCAAAACTTCCTCCTTCAGGATTTGCTTTCATATTACTGGAAGCGGTTAAGGAAGGGATGTAATC